TTTTCCAGTTCTTCTTGCTTTGTCTGCTTCCAGCTTTGGTTCCAAGGAGAAGGCCGGGCCGAGTAGCCCCCCGTGCATTGGGCCGTGTGGAAATGGCTTCAAGTCCAGCTCCATGCGGCTGGGGAAGGATGCGATCGTCTTCACCAAGAATGGCGGGGCCCTCACCGTGGGGCTGCTGTCCCAGACCTACCTGGAACGTGTCCATGCTGAGGCGGTGACTGTGCCCCTGGTGCCATTTAACCAACAGAACAGTATCCTTGAGCAGCTGGGGGTTCCTGCCGCGGGGCTGAGGGGCAGCTGCCCCGCACACAGCCTAGAGTCTGTCCTGGCTCAGTCTTTGAGACTGTCCTCTGATGGTTGTGGATATAGGGTTGTGCCCCTCTGGGGTGTCAGGAGTCCTTGCAGCTGGGTGGGTTTTTCTGCCCCTTTTTGCAGGGGGTCTGGGCAGCCCTGTTCTCCTTGACCCCATGGCTTCTAGAGAAGATAATTTTTACCGAAGACTCTGTGCCCAGCCTGGAGGCCATCCTGGAGCATACGCTCTTCAACACCAGGGAGGAGCTGCTGGCACAGTTTGATGCCATCCCAGGCAAGAAGGGCACGCGCATCCTCATCTGGAACATCTGCAGGTACGGGCTGGAGGGGTGCCGAGCTGAGGAGCGCATCACATGGTGCCTGCTGCACAGTCCCCAGCCTGGAGGTTCGAGCTGCTCTCATCCAGTGTAGCCGTATGTCACATGAAGCAGTCACCTGCTTCCCGATGGAAGGAAGTTGGGAGAGATCAATCTCTTTCTGTCTGTTCCAAATGTTTTTTTTTGTTGTTTTTTTGTTTTTTTTTAAAATTTCCATATTTCTGTGTATCAAGACAGTTGTGAAATGTTCTACTACTTTGGTGTTCTGCACAGAAACCCCTGTAATTATCAATTGACTAATGAGATCTGTGGGTGGTGGGAAAGGCACTGCTCTATCTGCTGCTCCTTGATACAGAAGAGCAGCCTGCTCAGGAAAGCTGTGTCCTGACAGCAGGTCAAGAGCAAAGGAATGGTTTTAGTCATTGCTTTCCCTATACTGGAGTCCTGCTGAGTTGTTGTCCTTCCAAGTGCTAGACTTTTGTGTCCTTGTATTAAAGCTGGTTCCTCTTTGGACCCTGGTGTGGGCTGAAAGGGAGAGTTTGTCCTTTTTTGTGTGTCTCTTGTTTTTCAGAAACAAAGATGGGAAGCCAGAGCTGGATTTTGATACGGATGAATATGATATCCGGTTAGCAGACTTCCTTACAGAGAACATGGAGACTCGTGGCAAAAAAATTATGCCCTGTCGGGAGATGGTCCCAGAGTTTTCTATCCTAGAGACAGAGTACTCATTGCGGGTGAGTTGTGCAGAGCTGGAAGGAGGTGGCAGCCCTTGGCCAGGCTTGTTGCAGTGTGGCTGACCTGCTCCTCTCACATCGTGTTAGAGTGGACCCCCGTCTTCTGGTATCTTGCAGGGAATGAAGGATGGGGAATCCCAAGCAGATTCTGAGGTTGCCTGAGAATGACTATATGGGACAGTTCAGGTGTGTGATGTCTTTCCCATATCTGCAGTTTCTCCCTCCTCTCTCTCCCAGGCGTTTTGTAGTATCTTATACCTGAAGCCTCGCATGCAGATTGTCCTGCGGCAGAAGAAGGTGAACACCCAGCTGATCTGCAAGAGCTTGGCCAAGACCGAGTATGACGTGTACAAGCCCACCTTTGCCGTATCCTTCCTGCCCGCTGCTGGGCACCCTGCTACCCTGCTGCCACAGCGGCCTCAGCATCCTGCAAGGTCCACATCAGCCTCGTGGCCAGGTTTGGGCCTGCTCTTGGTGCCTAGAGAAATACAGGATTTAAATGAGCAGACAGGCTGAGTTACCTTCTCTTTCCTGTCTTCTGGTCACCTTTGGGAAGTTAAGTCTTGATGAGAAGGCAGAAGGGATCCCTGGATGCCGCTGTGCTGGAGTGCGCTGGGATGTGCCATGGGTCATGCTGCGCTGGAGCTGGCTCTTGCCTCATGCGCTGTGTCCAGTGAGGCTGAGGTGGGCAGGGACTCGAGGCTTCTGAAATGTGTTTTCAATATCAATGTTATCTCAATTCAGTAGAAAAAAACTCACACACTTGATCAAAAGTGAGAGCAAGGACCAGAAGAGCCTTTCTGTCCCATTCCTTAGTTAATGGCTTATTTTTCCTGACTAGAAGTTGCTCATTTGAGTTCTTGGAGCATGTTGATGTTTGTGTGTTTGGTTTTTCCTCCCCTATTGAGTGTTTTGGCTTTTCTGGCTTAGCTATTGATACATCCTTTTGGAGAAGGGTGTTTCCAGGTCAAAGCCAAGTGCAAAGAACAATAAGGGTATCAAATCTCTTCAAATGACTTCCAGAAAGAACTTTGCTTAAGCTGTTCTGAACTGCATCTCAGCATCTTTTCCCCTTCTCCTTTCACATGCTTAAAGGTAGTTTTGTGTCCCAAGGGTCTGTGAGTATATCAATTGCTGCATCAAATGTGAAAAAGTGTTATTTGCTTAAATTCCATCCTTATTTACTCAGGAGCTGAAGAATGAACACAAATCCATTCTGCTTTTATCTCTTCTAATAGTTAAGATTTTGCACATTAGTTGCAGTCTTCTGGGCAACTGCTGTTTTTTTTGCTGAACCACTACTTTTGGAGATCATTTGCAAAAGAGCAGCAGACTGGAGGTTAGGAAAACTAGTGGCAGTGGATTTCTGTTTGCTGATTTTCGCAGTGCGTGTGCATAAAGTAGCAGCTCCTGGAGACCTGGACCACTGCATCTGTTCTGCATAGTTCCAAGCAGCAGAAGGCATGCAGTGTCTGTGAACATTGCAAATACATGAGCTCTGACTTTAAGAAATAACAAATTAAAAAATGGGCTGCCAGAAGAAGGTGAGTAGCTGCACTGGGGTCCTTCTACCTTTAAACAGTAAGTGCTTAATTAAATATTTTAATCCTAGCTAATAGTAGTTTCCCAGATAATAACAATCTCTTCAGCACGGAATTTGTGAAACTGGAGTGTGCTGAAAGTGAGCTCTTTCTTCTGTACTGCTCCTTGGAGTTATTAGTATTTATTAGGGTTTCTTCAGCCTTGACCGAGTGTTTGTTTTAGCTTTGTAAAATTAGTCACTCTATCTTTTAGTCACAAGAAAAATTTGGTCATTAGTTATCCGTTTGCGATACGATTTGAAACCGTCTCTTTGGCCGAATCTTGCCTCCTGTGTTATCAGTGTAACATGAACGAGGCTCGGAGCCGTGGGGGAGCCCCGGCTCGCCTCGCGCCGTTATCTGCTCAGCGCCAAGCAGCTCCCACGTGTGTTGGGCCCTGCATCCCTCACCCTCGCCTCTCCCAGAGCTCCTGGTTTATTGCTTCCTTGATGAGGCTTTTCCGCAGAACAAAAGAGTGAGGATCACCTTTGGATTCAGCTGCAGGAACAAAAGCCACTATGGGGTCATGATGTACCACAAGAACCGCCTCATCAAGCCCTATGAGAAAGTGGGCTGCCAGAAGAAGGTGAGTGGCTGCACTGGGGTTCTCCTCCCTTTTTCGTTTGGGAGAGGGGAGAATGGGGCTCTGCGAAAAGCAGCCTCGTTGTAGGTCTTTGCTTCCCTACTGCACAGTGGCCAGAGCCCAGAGACCTGGTGTTTCTGAGGTGACATCCTGAGAATTGGGACAGCCCGTGTGTGTCCACAGCGGGTGTCTAGCTGGCTTTGAGGAAGCAGAGCAGTCCAGCTGCTCCAGAATGCTGTTGGAGGAGCTGTGGGAAGACAGGCAGCCGGCCTTTCCCGCAGGGCGATCCAGGTGGATCTGCTCCGGCAGGCAAGTTTCGGCTCTGGCGGGAGGCTGCCCGTGCAGCCGGTGCTTCTAGACACTATCGTGCGGGAGGATCTCGGAGCCAGGGCGCACACCTTCAGCCATGGGCAGTTCTGCCTGTCACGCCAAGCAGTGCTCTGTGTTCTGAGAGGAAAAGCTTCGGGACACACCTCGCATCCCTTTGCAGCAGTGGGAATTGTGGACATGGCTGCCCCGTGCAGCTCGCAGGCTGCTGTGCAGGGGCACAGGCCTGGGTTTGCCTGCAGCGGGAAGCAGGCTGGCAGCCCCCTCTAGAGGACTGCTTTTTTCATTCCTGTTGTGAGCAGAACTCGCTAAAAGAGCTCTTTTCTGTCACTGCTGGCCACTGCAGGGAGAAGGCGTGGGTGTCATCGGAGTAATTGAATGCAACTTCTTAAAACCAGTACAGAACAAACAGGACTTTGAAAAAAGCAAGGAGTACCGGTAAGAGAGACAGATCTGTGCCCCAGGCTGCTGCCGGGGGAGGGGTTTTCTGTGACACAGCCTTCGATCTGAGCTGCTGCACCTGTTCTTAGGGCTGTTTATTCTGAATGGTTCTAGACTGGGCCATTTTTTCCGTCTCTGATGCCCCCAGACAGCGAGGAGAATTGCATGCCTGGGAAGCATGGTGCAAATGTAGAGCCCTGAGACGTTGCGTGGGCAAACCAGCCCTGGCACGCAGACATGTTCACCCACAAGAATCCAGCTCAGAGGAAGGCCTGCCAAGATGAAACGGCGTCCATGTGTGTGCACTTCAGCAGAGCTGCTCAAGCCCCTCAGAGCCATCAGGGAAGGTCGGGAGCTCGCAGGGAGCTGCCAGTCAAGGCTCCCGGGGGGCTGTGCTCGCGAAACACCCCTCTGGCAACCTGAAGCCTGGAGCAGGGTGGACCAAAGCAATTGATTTTTGCTATGCTGCTAGAGAACTGTTCATGAATTAGAGTAAATAACACCCAGCTTTTGTGCAGGGTCCTTTCCGCAGCAGGAAGTGAGGGCTGTGAAGCGCGATGTTTGTGGACATCTCTGCTTCCTCCCCCCACCAGACTTTGCCAACAGTAGAATTTGGTGGTTTTCTGTATCTTTTTGAGGTGGAGCATTGGTGGGGATCTTTCTCAGTCCGACCCCAGCTTAGAATTTGCCGATAAGCAAAAGGGTAGACGAGCAGACGCCCCAGGCGTGACGCAGGGGCAGCCGCGCGGCGCCCTGGCCGCGGAGCCGGCTGCTCTCCGCTCCCCGCGTCTCGGCGGTGCGGCCGCCTGCTGCTCAGGCACGCGTTCCCTCACGGGAGACCCACAGAGGGGATGGGGAGGAGGGCGAGCCTGGGCCTGCGCAGTTACTGGGGAGGGCTGGTCAGACCCGTGAGCTGTGGTGGTTTCATCTGGCTCTGTGTGGCCCTTTGATGCAGGTTAGTGTGTTTTTGTGCTACACACGTGTTTGTGGCCAGGGTGAGTGGTTTCCTGAGCACTGCCCGGCCCTCAAGTCCCCTGCGAGGCCTTGGGTTTGCCCTGCTTTGAAAGGGAGTTGTGAGCAACTCTGAACGTCCAAGCTGTGCTGCTCTAGAGAGGTGAGGGGGCGTCTGCAGCAGCAGAGCCGCCTTTGAAGAGGGGAGGGGAAAGTCTTGGATGCTCTGTGGTGAGGTGGGCGGTGAGTTTGCTGTGGTGGGATGGCTGATGTGGTGGGGCTGCTTAAGTGCCAATCTATAACATGCAGTTGCAAGACTGAGTTGAGCTCTTGGGGGAGACATCTGTGTTTGTCCTGTCTGTTCCTCCATGCTCCTGCTTGTGCTGTTTGGTGGGATTTGACCAGTTCCTCGATGTGTTTTTCCCTTCCAGACGGACAGTCACAGTGCTGGGGCAGAAACTCAACACCTACTGGAAGACAAAGATGGCCCAGATGAACTTGGGGAGTGCAGATACAGCCTGCGTCATAGCGTGAGAGCCACCTCTGATCTTTGTCACTACTGACAGCCTGGGGGTTCCCTCAGCCAAGGCAGGGTGGGAATGCGCCACTGGCAGAGTCAGAGGCAGCAAAGAGGTGACTGGATCTTTCCTTCATTTTGGAAGCCAAATGTCCCATGTGCTGGAACCGCCTCGGGGTCGGGTGGCAGCACTGGCACTGACCAGCCTTTCCCAGCATTTGCTCCATGCCTGAGGTATTTAGACTGTTGCTTTATTTATTTTTCTTTTCAGAGAGAGACCAGATCAGACATGGGTGCAGTGCGAGGAGTGTCTGAAATGGAGGAAACTCCCTGACAAGGTTGATCTCGCGTCTTTGCCGGAGAAGTGGTTTTGCTATCTCCATCCTCACCCCAAATACAGGTAGGGATTCGTGGGTGGAGTCCTGCGTGACTTTTCTTGTTGCCATCCCATATCTTTGAAACCCACATGGTTTGTGTCAAACGTGTGGGTTCCTGCTTTCTGTCCATGCACTTGGGAGTACAGAGATTCCTTACAGGAGATTGTACAGGTCAGGTCCATAGTCACATTTCTTCAGTCTCTTCTCGGAAAATATAGGTATTGAAGGAAAACAAGAATCTCACTGAAAACTTTTTGGTAGCTTGTTACCATTCTCCTTCTGGTTTAGTATGTTTGTGTTCTGCCTCTTCTTTGAGCAGAAGCCAGCGTTTATAGCCCTGATTTAGCACATGCTTGCTTTGGTTTCTGCTTGACATCTTTCTTCCTGATACACTTAAAATAGCAGAGTTTGAGCTAGAAGAAGCCTTCCATTTAAATTATAGGATGTAAGAAAGATTTGATGGGTTTTAGTTAAATGTGCCAATGGAACACTGTTAAGGAGCAAAACTGCTAATAGCAAAAGATGATTTCTTGGTGAAATCTGCTGACCTGTTGGAGAATTTAAAAGAAAAATTACCCTACCAAGAGCATCAACTGAAGTGCTAAGTGAAAAGAACTGATAACACAAACTTGTGACTGAGACAAGCCAGATGGATTTTACTGAAAATCATTTTTTTTCTTTTTAATAAGTCCCAACAGTCAATTTAAATGTCTTAGTTGCCTCTGTCTACTGAAAGTTTGAGTTCCACAAAGCCTGTAATAAACAGTCTTCATGATAAACCTCTAAGGAAATCATTTGGCTTTGGGGTAAGATGGGGAAGCTTTTTTGGCCCTAAAAATAGATAATAAATCCACCTTTCAACAGAGAGGGAGGTTAATGTAGGACTGGCTGAATATAAGGCTATTTGATGCATTTAAAAAGTCAGTGATCTGGAGAGGAAGCAAAAAGAAACTAGAGATGAGAGAGATATACCCGCAGCAATGCTTATGTGTCTTTTTAAACTCTTAAGTGAAGAATTTGTGCTGTATGCTTCAGGACATGGCTGCAAACATGCAAGAGGGAACTTTTCCTGTGGGCTGTTGCCATATAGTTAATCGCTATGACAGTTTATTTACTTTGAAGCTGCTGTAGTCTGTGTTCCCCACATTGGATATGATTCATTTCTCAGTCAAGTCAAAACTGAAACACAAGTGGCTAGCATGCTGTTTGATTTGCTGAACCCTGGTCTCATGGCTTGTGCTCCATTGCTCTTCATCTACGCTATTTTGAGAGGCAAGTGGCTTTTTCTCCCTCTGCCCTTAAATGCAATATTTGACTCTCCAGCTGTTTCCATGGCCTTACGTTATCTGAAATTCTAAAAGAGTAGAGACATTGGGCAGATGGAGACCATGGAGACTCCAAACCACGGAGACTTGTGGTGGGAGAGGGAGCCAAACTGTTCTTTTACATATTGCAATGTGGTGAATTGCTTTTGTTGCAGAAACTGCTCAGCACCCGAGGATCAGGACACCAGCGATGAGGAGAAGAGCCCCAGCCTCAGCCAGAAGTACAGGAAAGGGTGAGGATGGGCAGTTCTGCCGTGCCACCCGGTTGTCTTGAGCCAGGAGGCAAGAGGGAAGTCAGACACCTCCTTGCCCAGCAGTGGCACCTCCTGCCTGGTCGCTGCTGGTGCAGGTGATGTCTGCTGCTTTTCTCCTGCATCCCAGGCTCCATCTCCTGGCAGAGATCGTGCCTTGCTCCTCAGTAGGACTTGTTCACTTGCTCTGTTTTTCTCTTCCATGGTCTAGGGAGCTGAGTGCAGAGAAGAAGAGGAGGAGGTCGTTTTCCTTGCCATCAGGGGAGAGCGTGGAGCAGCAGGTGACACAGGTGGGAGCCAGCACAGGGAGAGCCTGCTCAGTGCTGCAGGGCTTGGCAGGGTCCCATTCTTGCCACCTCACTGTTGTTCCCCTTCCCTCCTTGTGCGGAGAAAGCAGCTGGCACGTGACCATGATGGAGCATCATGCAAAACGAGACAACAATTCTGACTGATGCACAGCTTTCCCATGCCTCAAACTGTTAACAGCAACAGGGGCCTGGCAGTCCCAGTCCCTGTGCACATCCTGACCCTGTCCTGCGTAGTCCCAGTGAGTTCATTGCTCCTCACCCGCTGTGCGGTAGGATGTAGTGAGCTCCCTGCTTCCGCTCCTGGCTTTGCAGGGCTGATGCTGTGTGGCCTCCTTCCCCCTTTTCAGGTTAACCAGTTGTATAAAGACTCTGATGTTTTAAATTTTCAGGAGAACTGTCTTTCGGATACAGCTGCCCAGAATGGGTTCTCCGGGCAGCTCTGGACACTGCAGCATGTGATCAGGTTGGCCATCCAGCTGGGACGGCTCCCTCCCAACACTCACCATGGTGTTCAGGTGTCTTTCCATGGCTCTCCAGTGCCAGCCTAGACACTTTGCATGCTCTTTTCCAAAAGACATCCTCACGTTGCATGCTAGACTAGTTTTTTTCTCAGTGTGTTTGAAAGGACAAACCTAGTAAGGACGGGGGATTTCTCATCCTCATGCACAACTTTTTTCTCCTGTGAACTATCTCTAATAAACCTGCCTATTGCAGTGCATGTCAGTAAATGAGAGTTTGGTAACTGTCACAGACTGCGAGCCTTGGAGGCTCTCTAGGAGTAACTCTGTCCTCACTCACGTTTGTCATCTCTTCCATGGTGTAGTAGCATCAATTTGTCTTCTCTTTGTTGCTCATTTCTCCTCTATAACATGGTCATCTCATGTTGTCCCAGGTGCATGTTCCTAGAAAGAGAATTGATTTGTCTGATGCATGTTTCTGTATAACAAGCATGAAAGCTCTTGCTGCACAGCAACAAGTGCCTTCTTGGAGCACAGAGGAACTAAAGCACCATCCCTCAAACTAAGGAGACACCCTCATGGCTTCGAGCATGACCTGTGCCACTCGTGATACAAGATAGCAGGGTGTGAACGGGGCACTGTTTGCTCTGGGGTCAGCAAGAGTGAATGTTGTGTGTGAGCTGGTTAGTCACAAGGAGGCCTGCGGGGCTCGCAGGTGGCAGCGCCGCCTGCCCTGGGGCTGCTGGGGCTGAGGCCAGTCCTTGCTGCTGAAATGGATGCTAGACGGCACAGTGTGGGGGACCGAGACCTTCTCCACTGGTTGCCTCCCAAAGATGGTTGTTGGTTAGGACATCTAGATTCCGTACCTGGCTGGTGGAACCTGCTCAAATGGAGTAGTCTTCTCGTGTCTCTTTCCTCTTGGCTAAGGCTTGGCTTCCCACGGTGTAGCTTGGCACACTGCGGGCTCTTGTCTTACTTTTGTTAAATGCTTCTTTCTTCCCCAGGTGTCATCCCCTGCATCAGTGCTCTGTCCTGCTTGTACCAGCAGTTTCACCTGTGCTGCAACGCCGGAGCCTCAGGACAAGGTCGCGGATGGGGCCGTTGTCTCTTCCCCTCCTCTCAAAAAGATCACTGCAGGCCTGGGTGGAGCAGGATGCCAGGACCCAAACACCCACTTGACAGCTTGGTAGGTGGATGCCCCATGCTCTAGGAGACTGGCCTTGTCTCTCCCCAGCAGGTAGAAGTTGCTGGACGTGTCAGATGTGCTGTGGATTGGGGCACTCCTCTCTGCTCACCCTCTGTCTCTTTTTATAGCAAGCCCAACTTGCCTGTAAAAGAAGAGCTACTAGAAAAACGTGAAGCACAGATGGGAGTTTCACCCCCAGATCTGCCTTGTCCCAGCCACCCTCCGTTCCCCCTTCCAAAGAGTTTCGCGCAGCATTACCAAGACAGGGGAGACCTCGTGTACATAAAACAGGAGACCAGTGGAGGCGGCAGCTTGTGCACGTACCTGCTCACAGGGCTGCCGGGCGCCCTGGGCACCCCCTGCCCCACGAGCAGCGCGTGGCGCTGGGACGGAGGCTGCCGCAGGGAGGACGCTCCAGGCCCGTCCGCCGGCTCGGCAGCAGCGCAAAAAGACCCTGTCATGGTCCAGGGAGAGCTGGAAGGCCGAATGCCAAACCTGGTAGCAGAAAGCCAGGCTGCAGACAGGAGCGTTTGTGTGAACGTGTACGGGAGCGCCCAGGACGTGCCGAAGGGGCCCTTCGTGGCAGTCGTTGGTGTTTCAAAGGCTGCTGCAGGCACCGAAACTCCCCTTCAGCTCTTCCCCTTTGGGTGGAAGGAGACACTGGACAGGCCAAGCATGGGAAAGGCCCCGTGCCTCAGGACTGGAAACAGCAGAGGAGAATTGCAGGTTTTGAACCTAGGGAAGCAGGAGGATGTGATGGAGCAGGAGAACATGAGAAGAGCAGTGGAGAATATCTCTGTGAAGCTGGAGAATATTTCAGCAGAGCGGGATTTGCTCCAGTGCAAGGTAACTAGTTTGTGGCTGTGCCTCCTGGTGTGTTAGGAGGGTCTTGGAGCGGGCTGATCCAAGTGGGTTGAGCAGGAGAGATGCTTCCATAAGGAAGCTGGTGAGCTTCTTCCTTTATCTGCTGACTCTTCCTTTGTCCTTCAGGCCTAGGGAAGCTCTTTTTATTTTGCTGGTTGGTGCCATTCCTATGTGTGTTTCTCTCCCGTTTCAGGTAGAGGAAGTAGAGCGTGAAAAGTGTTACCTGAAAACAGAGTTCTTGAAAAGCCAGCAGGAACTGGCAGTGCTCAGAGCTCAGGAGACTGAAGGCTTGTACTGGAGCAAGAAACATATGGGTTACCGCCAAGCTGAGGTGCAGGAGCTGAAAGCAAAGCTGGCAAGATCCATGGAGGAGAAGGATGAGCTGATGGAAAGACTCAAGGAGACAGAGATGCACTTAGAGGTGCTCAGGGAGACACAAGTTTCCTGCAGGGGCCCAGAGAAAGGAGATGTGAAAAGGTCAGAACTTGGGTTGGCTTGTCCCCATTGGTCTTAAAGTGAGGGCAGTGGTAATTGTGGGCTGCTATTTCAATAGACACTGCTACCCTGGTATCAGTCACCCTGGAAACTGAATTATAACTGAAGATCCTGCTGTTGTGAGGGGCTGGAATCAACAGATGAATCCAAATAATTGATCAGGCTTCAAAAAAAAGAAAAGGTGCTTTTTCTATTCTGGTCTGTCCTACACCTCATACTGAGTCGCTCTCGCAGTGTTGGGTCTGCAGTGGAAATGAGAGTAGGGTGGAGTAAGGGACCCCCCCAGGGCACCTGGCTCTCCTGGGAGGAAGGAGACAGCGGTTGTGTGTGTGGTGGGATGGCCAGACCTCTGTCACAGACTTCTCTCTCTTGTTTTTTCCCTCCTGCCCACAGTGTTCTGGAGAAACTTAAGAACCTGCGTATGAATGTGAGCTGGCTGCTTTCCTTGGTTCTCCCCCATTTGGAGCTTCAGGAGATTAACTTTGAGTCGGATCAGGTGGATGAGATCTTGCAGACTGTGCTGGAGACAAACCGCATGTTGGAGTAGTCTGTTCTCTCTTGCCACTGTGCCTTTTGTACGGGACTGTTAATAAACTGCTGGTTTCTTTAGCTGTGCTCCAGGCTGTCATTCTGGTGGGTTGAGGCTTTTCCCTTCCCGCCCTGCCCTGGCCCTTGGCTTTGCGGTGGGCCCCGCGGCAGGGCATGGCCCTGTGCAGCGGCCTGTGTGGTGCCTGCTCTGTGGGGCTCCCCAGCGCTCCGCAGGAGCAGGGGGCAGGGGCAGGCAGGAGTCCTGCTTCCAAGGCGGCTGCCTGGCCCTGTCCTGTCCTGTCCCCACTGTGTGGGGCTTGGGAGCTGGACCCTGGCTCCCCAGGTGCCATCTGCAGGTACAGCCCCAACGAGCAGCAGGTAAGCTGGTCCATGCCTGCCCTTGTTCTGGGGCGCATCTTTGTTTGTTTGTTGGATATGGAGTGGGAGAAGGTTCTCTTGGCTGATTGTATCTGCCCGTGCAGCCATGGGCACAGCCGGTGGCAGCGGTGACACGAGCGGAGTGCCCGCAGCCACGCGGGTGCCCCTCGGCTCGCCCGCTGCCCCGCGTCCTGGGCGGTGTGGCCGCCCCCGCAGCAAGGGCAGGCTGGGGCAAGGGGTGTCCGGGGGCAGGTAGGGGATCGAGGGCCCTCGGACATGGCCTGGGTTGGCCATGCTCAGGCCGAGGGCAGCTCCAGCTCCGTGTGCTGCCTCTGGCACGGCTCATGGAAAGAAGGTAGAGCACCAGGACAGGGGAGTGTTTAATCATAGAATCATAGAATGCTTAGGGTTGGAAGGGACCTCTAGAGATCATCTAGTCCAAGCCCCCTGCACACGCAGGGTCACCTAGAGCACATGGCACAGGACTGCATCCAAGCAGGTTTTGAAGATCTC